ATATATATATATATATATATATATATATATATATATATATATATATATCCCATGTAAACAAGTAATTGTTAACTATGGTGTTACTTTATTGCACCAACTTTGCATAGATGATAGCACAAAAGACCATTTCACAAAAATAAATATATAAGCAAACAAATAAATAAACCTTATGAGTGAGCATGCTCTGGGACTCTACTAAAACAGTTCACACTTCAACCCACCCAATGTTCAAACCAAAACTACGCCCTTGCTATTAACTATTAAAGATTTACTAATTTGTTGCATAGGTATCAACCTATAATATACACTATCATGTAATATACACAGCATTAATGCTACATAAAATATAACGTGATTAGATTTTGCCCTGGTGATATCAGTAGGCCTACTGACTAATATGAAACGTCTTTATGGATTGTTTGTTACATGATTAAATGTCTGGACTAAGCAGTACATAAATGTGCAATTAAGGTACTTTTTAATTTTATAAGACAGAGCTGAACACGCATAGATGATGGCTGCAGCAGCCCTAGATCTGGAGATTGGAGGGAGATGGTCCTCCTCGCTGCAGAACACGATCCAGCAAAGTCCCTAGGCCCTAGGGTATTCTATAGTCTTTGGATCCAGCCACAGTGTACAGAAGGTGGCGATAATGCTCCAAAGGAACGAGCCGCCATTACACATGAAGAAGAAAAAGCCAATCAGCAACTGTTCTCAGGTTTGAACGTAAAGCGGTTCATCGCGGTCCTCAGTATTGTTCATTGGTTCTGTAATCGAAAGACTTCACATTTTTTGCTTATACAACTATTAAGAAATTTTGCGAAGCGCTCAACATGTTGATAAGTTGTTGAGGTAAATTCAGTTGTCAATATAATAACGCTTTTGGTTTTTAAACTATGGGCATGGTAGTGCAGTTGTTTCCTGTATAACGTTAGAGGTTTATGCATGTATGCAGTCAAGAATTAATGAATTATTTCTACTTATTTTCCAATGATTTCAAATAATTTATATTCAGAAAGTCTGTTTTAGTAACTGCAAGCCGTTTGATCCGTTCTGATCTAGGTCATTTGCCTTGAAAATGTGTATATTTGAAAACTCAGTGAAATGTCACTGTTCTCGAGCGTTTTGTTCAGTTTATACAAATCTCTAGAAAATCTACGTTTCAAATAAGACTAAAACCTGATGATTTTTAGGTCATCTCCATCTGTAAAATTATCTTGTAACAGACTAAAATGCATTGAAATTCAAAATGAGTTTATTTCGGAGATTGTGAGGTGGAATGTTTATAGAATATTATAGTGACAGTGTACAATAAGGTCTCATTTGTTAACCTGAACTAACAATGAGTAATGTATTTTTTATAGCTTTTATTAACCTTTGTTAATGTTGGTTAATAAAAATGTTCATGTTAGTTTACATTGCATTAATTAATGTTAACAGATACCATGTTTGATCTTAAAATGTGTTAGCAAATCTTGAAATTAAAATGAAATAATATTAATAAATGCTGTAAAAATATTATAAATCGTTAGTTCATGATAAGTTATTTAAGTTAACTAATATTAACAAATTAAACATTATTGTAAAGTGTTACTAACATTCATCATACATGCATTCATTCGCAGAGGAATTACATTTGTGCTTTTTTTTTTGTTTGTTTGTTTTTTTGGTCATTTCATTTCCCAGGGACTTTAACCCAAGACCGTGCTGTGGCTAGCACATGTTCTAGTTTAAGCTGCAAGTTATTGTTTCTCCATTTTTATATGGTAATGGTTTAATTCTACTTTGTAGTAAAGATCCAAGATGAATGCAACAGGAAAAAATGGGCCGGTGTTTATCAAGACATACAGTAAAAGAATGCGAAAGGTTGAGCCTTGGTTCTCCCCTGACCTGAAGAAAGCAGCTTTCTCTTTTTCAAGCACTCCCTCATCGGATCAGTCCATATCAGAAATCACACATCCCAAGAAGCGGTAAAACATGCTCTCACCTATTTATTCATTAACATTGCCATTTTATATTAAAAAACTCTGGTTGAACTTTTCTATAGGCAAGCTGTTGTTATGCATTACAATTTCTCATTCCTTTCTCTGTTCTAAGGAGAGTAAGAGAAACAGGCTCCCATGCCGCAAAGAGCAAAGGCATGACTGCCATAAAGGAGAAAGAGAGTGATGAGGAAAACTACACGCCGTCCGTATCATCCCGGTCAGGACTGTGACAAAACAACTCAACAACATTGCGTAGAACAGATGAACTATTAACACAGAGAATATATTATTTCAATGCAGACTTTTCTGTCAACTTTCAATGACATGAACCCTAGATCTTATTTTACTCATAATTTGAAGATTCTAAAACTTAGAAATTCTCAGTAGACTGAACAGCTATTTCCTTCTTCTTCACTGTTCTGTATGACTTTGTTTCTGCAGAAAAAAGGTAAATGCAAAACCATCAGTAAGGACAACAGCTGCGAGAACTCAAACAACAAAGGCAAAACAAAATAAACAATTAATCGTTTTCACTAGCAGTGAAAATGAGGATGATGCCTTGATGATGAAGAATAAAGTCCATCCAAAATCATCTGCTGATGAATGTGCTGGGTAAGCTTGTTATACATTTTGTGAAAAATCTGAAAATCAATAGTGTTACATAACTCAGTCAGCATAAGTGAAATGTTGTTTTGTACCCCTGCAGTGCCAAGAAAGTATTAGACCCTCCCCATTTGGTCAGATTTGTTACACAACGCAAAAGACCACCGGCAACTATCCGAACTAAGAGGATCGTAAGTAACAGTATGCTGGGGGTACTTTGTATGTAAGAGAAAATTCCGATGGACTGTCGTTAAAGCAGGGTTCTTGTCTTTCCCACTTTTTTCCTTTCCTCCTAGTCTCTTGTTCTTCACCGCACGCTAGATTCCTCGGATGATTTCCTCCCTTCATTCTCCAAAAATAAGCGTGTTGCAAGCAGAAGGCCATTTGACATGGATAAACATGACTCAAAGAATCACGCTGCTCTCAAGAACCGCAAACGCTCACAGAAACGTGTGGCTCTAGCTGAGGTCTCTTTCAATGATAGCGATGACCAGCAGCTCCCAAGTAAACGTCCCCTGCTATCAAGCACCCCTTCCCTTGTCTGCAGACAGCTCCAAAACTTACCAGATCCCTCCATCAGTGAGATCTCCTCCCTCAGCTTTGATGAAATGCACCAACCTACAGAAAACAACAACAGCCTTCATAGTTTGAAGAGTGTCAAAGTTTGTGACCACACAGCACAGAAGAAGAAAAGTCAACAGCTCCCAAACCCAGGCATCTCTTCTGGAGAGAGAGAGATGGAGCAGATGGAGGGAGAAGAGGAAGCAGTTGTGGAAGAACGAGCTGGGGATGGAGAGAGGTATCAGGGAAAAGAAGGATGTGCTGAGGCCACATCTGCACAGCCAAGCACAAGTTTTGGATCTGTGTCACCACAGTCACACATAAAATCTTTAACAGATGAGCTAAAAGAGAGGTGAGTAATAGTTGTTTATTCACATAGAGAAAACTTGCGGAAAGCATTTTTTTTTAATCTCTAGAGTAGGGCGGGACGATATGGCCAAAACTGATATCACGATATATTTCTTAATTTCGGTCGATACGATATAATTCCGATATCGATATGAACACTATTTATCTGAAATAGAAATCTTTTGTAACATTATAAATGCCTTTATCATCACTTTTGATCAATTTTAAGCATCCTTGCTAAATAAAAGTATTAATTTCTATAATTTCTTTCCCAAAAAATAATAAAAATTATACTGAATGGAATAGTGTATAATGTTACAAAAGCTTTTTATTTCATATAAATGTTGATCTTTGGATCTTTCTATTAATCAAAGAATCCTGAAAAAAAATGTACTCAACTGTTTTAAATATTTATAATCAGCAAATCAGCATATTAGAATGATTTCTGAAGGATCATGTGACACTGAAGACTGGAGTAATGATGCTGAAAATTACCTATGTATGATCACAGGAATAAATGATTTTGAAACGTGCAGTGCTCATGTTTATTCAACGAAGTAAAATGCCACAAATAAATCAATGTATGGGAAGCACTGGTAATGTATATCGAAATATCGGAAATGTGTTTAAAAATCATATCACCGTTAATGAAAAAAATTATATCGCGATACATATTGATATTGAATTATTGTCCAGCCCTACTCTAGAGGAGCATATAGCAAAAATTGTAAATATATGCATTACATGTAACTTATTTAATTTTTTTTGCTTAAAGTGGTAGTTCACTGAAAATGGAAATTCTGTCATCGTTTAATCACTGTCATGTTGTTTCATAACTGTATTATAGGCTGGAATACACTACATGACATTTATAATCTGAACAGATTTTAAAACACTGGGAATCATACACTTACCGACTTTGTAATAGTCACAGAGGAAAAGCTGGCCATCATACACTAAATGACTGAGGATCACACACTACCAGACTTTAAAATCGTTCCGATCACAACAAACTCGTGCAGAAACGTGTGCCTTGTTGCGGGGAGATGTGTGACAAACATGAATATAAAGCATGTTCTAAAATAGACTCGAAATATCAAACATGTTTCTGACTGGATGGAGTCTAAGTCTGAAGCTAAAAATCGGAGTCTGTTACCATCATACACCACATGAGTTCCTGTTGTTTTAGAGTAGTTCACTTTTATTGTATGGACAAAACCTATCCCATTATTCTGTAATGTAATTAGAATTCCACTTTCAGTCAGTGCTTAAAACTAGGGATGCACGATATATCGGCCACCATATCGGTATCGGCCGATAAATGCTCATTTTTTCTGTTATCGGTATCGGCCCGATAAGAAAATTTGGCCGATATTTTAAAGCCGATAAATAATGCATTATTTCCTTCAGAGACACTTCAGATGCGCGCTGTTCGTTTGCAGCCTTTTGTGCAATTGTACGTTTTATTATTGTGTTTATTTGATGTATATCTGATTTATCTCGTATAGAATGCGTTTGGTTAAGTTGAAAGAGCGCTTCAGTTTACCGGTGATCATCTTTAGCTCAGCGCACGCAGCTCAAACAGCAGTGCACAACATTAATAGCTATGATTGGGAATGTCGTGTATATAACATTCTAATGAGAACATTATTATAATAAAACGTTGTGAATTCTTTGGGTTTAGTTGCCGTGTTTCAGCGCGTTGTTATGGGAAGAGCGCATCCACAACAGGATCACACATTCTGACTATAGCACTCAATAACTGCGTCATTTTGTACATATATAAGTTGTAATATTATGTTTATGTTGTATTAATATTAATCTCAGGATGCATTTCCTTGAGTTAAATAAGCTGCCAGCAAAACGCTTCAGTTTACCATGCTCATTCAGCTCTTCAGCTTCAGCACGCGCAGCTCAAACGGCTGCTATTTAAAACAGTGGTATTAATTTGTTACTTTTTCAAAATCATTGATACATTATTAATAATAACAACCACTTTTATTTTTCTCTTATTATTTTCATCAACAATATGGTTTAGTAATTAAAATCATTTAATTATTGTCCATGCAGAGGTTATTCCGTTTTATTGATCTATGGCGCATTAATTTTTATGACTAAATTTGGTAATGGGAGAGTAAAATTATTTTTAAAACGTACACCGTTCAAACTAGGCTGCTTATGTTGAAGTGTTTGGGATGTGGGTTTTAATGATGAGAACTTTTTTGTAATCAGGCTCTCAAAAAGTATATAAAAATTTGGATATAGATTTATCGGCCAACATATCGGTTATCGGCTTTCAAAAATAAAGAATTATCAGTTATCAGTATTGGCCAAAATGTTCATATCGGTGCATCCCTACTTAAAACACAAAATGTGTGGGTGAGAGTAACTCATAATGATGGAGCAGTTCATTTATAATATTAACATTAATTTCTTTACAAAACAACAACTGCAGTAACATTAACATGGCGAAGTTTGATCAGATAGTGAGGGAATAGAAGCCAACAAATGTTCAGCAAACATACTGCTTAAAAAGTATCCCAGGGTGCACCTCATGAAATGCTGGAATCCCTGCAAAGTGGCTGTTTTGTCATTTCATTATTTTGATGTTCTGACTATTTTTCTGAATGTGGAAAATAGTATTAAAGGGGTCATATGATGCAATTTCAGTTTTTCCTTTCTCTTTGGAGTGTTACAAGCTCTTGGTGCATAAAGAAGATCTGTAAAGTTGCAAAGACTAACGTCTCAAATCCAAAGAGATAAGAGTCAACCACTCCTACCTAAAACAGCTCGTTCTAACATGCCCCCACATACCTACGTCACTATCTGGGAAGATTTGCATAACGCTGCCCAAATGTTCACGCAAAGAAAGAAGGCGTAACTTTTATTCTCGCTGTAGTATTGTTGTTGCCACCGCTGCCATGTCATGGAGACGCTGTGTGTTTTGGTTGTGAAAGTGAAACTACTTTGTTTGGCCTTCCAAAAGAGGACGATATCTGCTTCGTCATGCCTGGAGCTGATCCGTGTTGGTTGCTGAGGAAATACAACAACTTTGCGCTGTGGATCGCCGGATCGGCTTTCACCGTGGACGAAGCGGAGTCCAGCCCGGGGTCGTCACATGTGGTTGCCGCAGGCATCACAATATGGTAAGGGACGTAACATTTCCGTCACACG